TTTCCGGATGTTCTTTTGCATTTTTATTTGAATTATACATTTTTATTTGAATTCAGGACACTTGAGGTGTTTCCAGAGATTCACTGTCAACTTTTATTTGAGGATATTTAAATCCCCAAATGGCATTGTCGTAGAGGATTGGCATCCATGAGAGGTTAAGATGGGAGAAAGAGAGATGTTTGTTGGTACGACTTGCTAAATTGACAATCTGACTCTCTAGCCTTCGTTTTCTAAATCCTGAATGACTTGGCGGTATCTCACATCGGCAAATGAATCTGCAAATACTCTTTGTGTTTGCAGTGTCTTTAGCTGTCAAGTAATGAGTGGTTACTGCTTCATTCATTCATCTGGGAGACACTTGCTGAACACCGACTGCTGGCAGGGCACTGGGGGTTCACAGGCGAGCAGGATGGACAGCCCATGCGCTCCATCAAGGTCGCAGGTGATTCACAGATAGTCCAGTAGGTAAAAGCAAGAGAGCTAGCCTCGAGGGCCGCGTGAACGTATGGGGGATCCTGAACACTGGCTGAGGAATTGAACTTGAGTTGATGGGAAAATTACATTTGCTGAAGTTGTAAGTTAAAAGAAACAAAATTCCTATTAGACTTTATCAAAAAATAATTCCTGAACATTACTTGCAACATAGAAAGGAGAGAAGTACAAGTGCTTACGTTGAGGATTTTAGGACTTAGCCTTGACAGCTAGGCAGACACACACACACACACACACACACACACACACACGCAGAGTAACGTGTGGCAACAGTGAAATGCACAGTGCAGAGAGCACCTTAAGAAAGTGGATAAAATTACTTAGTTGGTGTTAACAAAATGAACTGAGAACCTCTCATGTGCAAGGCCAGGACTGGGGATACAAACACGAATTACATAGTCCCCGATAGGTGCTCATCGCGCCGGTTGGTTATGATAGTGTCCCAGGTACAGTCCACAGGAAACACTTAGGTACAAAAGAAATTCCGAGGAGGAAGGTGCTACTGTTGCCTGTGGGGGCGGGCGCTGACAGGGCTTCCCAGGCGTGCTCACACCTGGCTCCAGGGCTGACAGCTCAGTAGTGATGTATCTGGCAGATGGGCGAAGAGGGCTTTATAGGCAGAGGACTAGCCTGCGCCAAGGCATTGAGGTGTGAAACAGCTCAGCATATTCGGGGAAGAAGTGTTGCGGTAAAGTCCAACAGTGAGCGAGATGGGAGGTGGGGCGCGAGTGGCTTCGTCCACTTGCCGTCTGGAAATCCTTCTGATGCAGACCGGGGCAGGGGGCGGGTGGGCTCAGGATCCGCTCATCATATTCCAGGTGAAAGACAATGAGGATCTAAGGCTGGGATGGTGGGATGGAGCCAGAGGGTGTGAGGTGTAGGGAATGGCACCGACAAGCCTTGCTGACTAACTGGGTGTGGAGGCGGTTGGGGTCAGCCAGAAGTTGCATATGAGGCACACAGGAGGAAGAATGAGCTCATGGGGAAAGGCTGTGAGTTTGAGGTGCCTGAAGGACATTCAAGAGGAAATAACCTAGCTGCAGCTGGAGCTAAGGAGAGCGTTTGGGGCTGGAGATAAAAGTGTGGGAGTCAAGGGTGGTGCAAGTTATGGAGATGGATGGGAACTGTGGAAAGTTCTGGAATGAGTGCTGATGAACGGTGGCTTGGAATTCCATGGTGCTCTGGACACAAGCAGAGCAGGAGGATTCACATCGGGAAAGTAGGGAGCATACGAATCCGGTTATAGGGAAACCTACAATTGTGGCTAAGGAGGTTGTGCTTCCCCCCCCTAGAAACTGTGAGCATTTTTGAATGGATGTAGTATCTTAGAGGGATTGATTTGGTGGAGGCGCACCAAAGAGATGGGAGGGCAGGCACACAGGCAGGCGGGCTGGCGTAGGTGGTAGGGTGCCACCTGTGAGGTGGCCTTGCATGCCTCAGGAATGGAAATGAAGTGGTTAGAATCAGTTCAAGGAAGGTTCCTCAAGCCCTGTTTGGAGGGGCTGACAAGGGGAAGGCATTTTCATCTGGGTGACTGGGGTGCTGGATTGTCACAGAGCTGCATGCAGTGTGGCTCAGCCGGAGTGGTGCTGACGGAGCGGGAGGACTCATCAGAAACACCAGGTTTGGTAAGAAAGGTGCTGAGTTCAAGTTTGAACCTGTGACCATTCCAAGTAAAAAGGGATCAGCAAGGGGTGCACCTGGAGTTGCTTGTCACTTCAGCTCGTCAGGTATTCAGGAGCTGGGTACTACTCATGGAATAAAGACAAGACCTTACAGCTACAGAGAGGGGTATCATCAAAATATGCAAATTACCATAATATAAAGCAGAACATGTTAAATGTTAATTTAAAATGTGGTTCTAAGTGTTACAAGGATTCAGAAAAAAGAAAAGTGCCATCTGGTTGAGGGGAGATCAGGAAAGTCTTGAGGAGGAGGAATTTTGATGAGCAGAGGGAGGCAGGGGTACCAGAGGTCAGAGGGCGTGTCGGAACCAGCTTATCCGGTTTAGTTGTGATGTGGCTTTATAGGGACTCGGTAGCAAGTGGGAGAATTGAACAGGGAGGATGGAAACAAGATGCAAGGGTCTTTCCTCTTGACAATAAATACCCAGTGCCCTTGAGCCCTAGTACGTCTGCTTCCCCAGCAGCTGATGGCATTGGCATCTATGCCATCCAGAATGGCCCATTTGCTGAGATATCCTTTGGGGGAAAAGACGAGGATGCACATGTTTTACTTGTCACTTCTTTCTTTAGCCCTGGCCCTCAGCTCAGCCCACCCTGCCTGATTCAGTAGCACGTGGAGAGGCTGTGAAAGGTCGCACTGTACCACAGATAGCCCAGGGTAGGCTCTAAAGAAACTTTCTTAAAAGAGCAACCCTAATTTTTTCTTGAAGGCCACCGACCTCAAGGGAGTGCAACGCTGGGAGGGGAAGGAGCAGATGAAGTCATTTCACAATATTTATTTGCATATATTACAGAAGACATTTCAAACACATTAGACATGAGAAACAGGAGGCTACTGTATTCTGAGTACATCCTGTTGCCCTCAGACACAAATGTGTAAACATCTCAAATCCAAACATGTGAACAAACTTTAAACTATGAAAATTCCATAACTTATAAATGGCTTAGAGGATTATAAAGGAATAGGTGTGTATTTATGGCCATGGGAGAAAGACAGCTGTGTATTATAGTTTAGAACTGTCTAGAGCTTTTGAGACCTTCGTTGATGGTAAAAGCAGCCCTGAACACACTGGCCATTAAATGCTACTGTGGATACAGTGGTTGGAACAGGGCTCCAGCGTGATATGCAAATATTAGTTCTTTCACCTGAGCTTGTGGACTTGAGCCGAACACAACTAAGGAACCGTCAGGTGCCAACTGACTAGATGGATATTTCAGAACATTAAGTTCTTTCCTATATACAGTGAATTTTGAATAGAAGGCATGCATTTCGTAAGCCTCCGTGTACTTAATGTTAGTAATTACTAATGATAACAGCATTTAATATTTGTTGAGTTTTTGCTTTCAGCCAGGCACACATTTCTGCGTAGATCATTGCATTTAATCTTCTTGACAATCCTGGAGTGTAGGCCTTCGTATCTCCCCATTCTACAACTAGGAAACTGAGGCATAGAGAGATCCAGTTGCTTGTTCGAGATTACCTTGCTGGTCAGTAGTGGTTCTGAGTTTGGAACCCAGAGCAAGGGGGATACTGGATGGTTAGGTCTTAACCATTAGGCCAGATGGCCTGGCACACTTGTTAAACTGCCTTGGATTAGAACGAGAGAGAAGCTTATTCAAAACATGTATTTATCCTGGTAACCTCCTAAATCACTCAATATGTAGGAAATGCTATGGAACCAAAGACTCGAGTAATTTAGTATAAATTGGTTTATTTTTCATCAGCTTCAGTTTTGAGTACCTCTGGGTATTTGTCTCCTCTCGACTGAACAGAACAGACCTTTCAACTTAGGTGAAAGCCACATAATCTCTATAATTAACGAAGCCACTAAGGCCTCCATTCTAGAAAAAAACACTTTTAGCATCCAGCATGACGCAATCTACAATGCTGGCACCGTTGCTGTGGTTCTTCTTACATAAAGTGCCTTTATTGACATCACAGAATCACCGAGGGGCTCTTTCTAGTGACCAAAGGTGCAAAACCACCCTGGGAGTTTGCCTCCAGTGAGTGCCGAGCCTGCAAATTTGCCAGCTGGGACAGGTTGCGTCTTCTGCCCTCTGGCTGGCTGACAGGCCAGGACTCCTGCTGTGTGTGTGCAAGCAAATGCAGTCCTTGGCACTCTCCCGGGAAACTCAGAGTTTTGGCTTCACACCCAATCTGACAAGAAAGGATTTTATCCCCTCCTCCAAACCATTGCCAGGGAGATGAATCCTCATCAGCCCCACATCCGGAGTGAAATGTGGAAAACCCAGTTGAGAACCTTTAAAGAAGCTGCTACAGGGTATTTCAACAGATCTTAAAGTATTAAAGGGCTGTTGATAGGGAAAGTGAAGCTTAAGTAGCCCTTTAAAAAAAGTGCGTGTGTGTGTGTGTGTGTGTGTGTGTGTGTGTGTGTGTGTGTGAGAGAGAGAGATGAGAGAGATGAGAGACAAGAGAGGAGAAAGAGAATAGAATAATGAATATCCACTATAGAAAAATAAGAAAATAAACAGGGAAAATAAAGTCCTTCATGGATCCTGCTTGGCTTAAACACTAAATCAATTTATTGTGGGAGGGTGAGCCAATTAAAGAAGCCATCTGGATAAAAATTGCTGAAGTTTTCCATTTGAATGTTTAGGAAGATAATTTGTCCATACCTTCCTCCTTTATAAAATTACTAATACAATTACATTGAAGAAAATTAAACTGCAGCTTTGCAGAAACAGTCATCGGAATTTCCTAAGCTGGTGGGACTTGTTTCTTGGTTCGTGGCTATCCCCCCAGCCACTCTAATCATGGAAGTGCTATCTACAGCCAAACTGTCTCTTTGCTTTCCTTCCCAGACACCAAATGGATTGCTTCTGACCCCGAGTCCACTGTTGTCCAGCATACATTTCTGGAGCAGCCTAAGTCCAGTTGCTCCACTGAGTCCTGCCAGGCTGCAAGGGCCCAACACGCTGTTCCAGGTAAGTATTTGGAAATGAACTTTTATTTATTGTTTTTAGATTTATTTATGCATACAAAAACTGGGTATAGGCCAGAGGTGCAATGGGTGAGAGGATTCACCAGAGACAGAGTGGGGATCAGAACAGTCAGATCTACTGACATACACTGCTGAGGGGAGCAGCAGGCGAGACACCAGAGGTCTGCTGCGCCATGTGGGTCAGCTCCCTGCCCGGGAATCGAACTTACGCTGCAACGTCTGGCGATACCTTGAGGGTGCTGATGCTTTAACCCCTGCACCAGCACGGAGGTCCTGGAAATGAACTTTTAAAGATTGAACTTCTAAGGGATGTGTCCCCTATAAACCCTGCCAAAGGTAATGGTGAATTCTATCCTACCATTTGGTTAAAATGTAAAGTTTACAAAGGGAGTTCATTTAGTGGGGATGCAGAAGGCAGCCTTCAAAGCAAACATTTTCATTGAGGCAGAAACACACTCAGGTCAAATATGCATAAATGAAACAATTCTTGATATTTCTGGATATTTGGAAACTGGACATTATGGAAAAACTAAACTCTCATTTTATGAAAGATCATAAAAAGGCTTTAAATAGAAATTTATTAGTCAGCAGCAACATCACTTGAAATAGAAAAACAAGCGAAAATTCCCTCCATATTGTAATAGGAAAATTATCAGCATTGTTTGTTAAATCATATGGAATTATCTATCTTGTCATTTAAAAGGCGCATCCAAGGCATTTGGCTAAAAAACGAAGTCTTAGCTGCTTTATCTTGCAAAACTACACATACTAGGGGGGCACATTCATTATTCATTCACGATAGAATCTTGTAGTAGCATCACTTGCTATCATGTGGAAATCAGTATTTCCTCTGAGACCCAAATGTTACTCACCAACAAGATGTTACTATTTGAATATGGGAGTGTAGGTTAGAAAGGATCCAGGGACAGAAATGAAGCAAAGGTAGCTAAACTTCCTTCTTAAATCTGGCCTCATCGATCCTGGATCCCATGCCGCTCACCCAGTGTGGCTCACCCACCTGTAATTCTTTTGCTGAATCGAGCACGTACTGTTTTGTATTATAGTTGCCTGTTTATCTGGCGATCCCCCCATAGACTGTGGGTCCTCAGCGACCATACATGCATCTTGCTTTCTGGTGTGCCCCTGGCATCTAGCACACTGCATGCTGCACAAGTGCTGCCCAGTAATTATCACTGACTGATTCAGCGATTGGATGACTAAGAATTCATCAGGATCTGACTAAGAAAGCGAGTGTTAAAAGGATCACTTTTCTGAGTTGGTCATTTTGCTTGTCGTGGTTAACATTTCCTGAGTATTCTGTGCAAGGAGCTGTGGTATTTACAGCCTTGTTTTAAGAAGGGTAGAGCTAAAGAGGTTTTGATTACAATCTGGCTTCTCTGCTTTCCTAGTAGCTTTGAGGTAGGATGTCATGATATACCCCTGGAATCATTAGGTTTCTCTTCCCTGGCTCTCTTCCTACCACAAGAAATTGAGTATGGTTATGCAGAAGTTAATGTGTTGATTCTTAGCCATTTTAACAAAAAGCATAGAAACAGTAAGCAAAGAAAATAGTAAAGTTTCAGATTAGTAGACCTCTGGTGGAGAGCTAAAATACCCTATTTCTTGGGTCTCCAGTTTGCAACAGTGTATTAGAGCTCCCAAGTAAAAGAGGAAAAGTTGTATGGTGCACACACACACAGTAAGCTCCATGGCGGTAGGGACTGTAATACTACTCTAATCTTGGAATTTAAGGACCTCTGTAGAGCCCAGCCACTACCTGTGAATAATGAGTCACCTCTCACTTCCTCTTCTTACTGGGAATTCTGCCACCTGATTGGTTTAGAGCAGGGTGACGTCCAAGGAGGACATAGAGAGCTGACTGGAAGTTCTTTGCCTTAGATACTAACCCTTCCCAGCCTATTATTCCCAACAGTAATAATGCTTCATATCCACAGTGATTCTACATATTATCAGGATTAACAGGAGCTTTAGGGATTGGGAATATGCTTTTCAGTCACTACTGTTGAGCAGTGGTTCTCTAGGTGTGCAACAGAGTCACCTGGAGGGTATGTGGACATACAGATTACTGGGCTCTATCTTTAGAGTTTGACTCAGGAGCTCTGGGACAGGGTCTGGTAATAACATTCTTTCACGTTCTTAGTAATGCTGTTCCTGCTGGGACCCGCTGCAGACCACTAGTATATAATCTACATTTAGAATTTTGCAGATGAGCTCACTACAGTCTAAAGGCTACTTGCTCAGAATTATAATTTTACAAACTGAACCTCTCTCCTGGAGCTGTTCAAAATACAACTGTATTTGGATGACTGACAGGTTGCATGGCTTTAGTCTCGTGAATTCCAATCACAAAAAGAATGTACCCTTTAGAATATTATTGCTCTGCCTATGGTAAGAGTAGAATGAGGTAAAAGTTGCAATTAGCAATTCTGAAAATGGTAAAAGGAATAATGCTTTATGATTTTTGAAATTAGACATTTCAAATGATGGATTTTCTAAATTCAGATTACTATCAACAGTGTCCCTTTTAAGCTAATGAACATTGTTTCCTTTTAAAATGTGTTGGAGGAAGAAATAAACAGACTTGGGCAGTAAGTTTAAATGATGCTACAAGTTTTCTGTTGTGCTTGGAAGAGTAGATCAGAAGCCTTAGTCACAGTTGACAGCCTTTCACGGGAATCCTGATATAATTATACATTATTACAGTAGATATTGAAGAATTTGAGGGAACAAGAGAGAAGATAGTAGCTTTTTTTTGTGTAAGTACCATGTGCTAACTGGAGGTCCAGATAGTAGCCTTTTTGGAAGAGGTATGCTTTGTAAGAGATGTTTCCATAAAGAGATACCAAAGACATTAAGTCTAAATGTACAATCTTGAAAAAATACTGGATGGTCTCACTCATAGCAGGAATGTAGAAAACCTAAATAACCTAAATAACCTAGAAAACCTAAATAACCTAAATAACCTAAAAAACCTAGAAAACCTAAATAAGGGACCAGGAAAAAGACTAATACAAAGTAAAAATCAACAAGCAACTATGGACCAGAGACAGACTGTGGTGGGGGGTGGGGGGAGGAAGGATTAGGGTCAAAATAAGGGGGGGGTGTAATTGTATGGGGACTATAACAAAAATGAAAATGCATACATTGTGCAAAAATGAAAAATGATGTAAGAATTAGATAAAATATTAAAAAAATAAATGTACAATCTTGATTAACAAAGTGAGAGGTTCACTGGACAATTTTGCATTTTGATCTTGTCTAGAAATCTGTTCTGCTTTTGAAACAGATTTTGATCAACTTTAGGTACAGGTGTCTTCTGTAATTTTTAATTCAACACATCTAGTCCAAACAGCAATATTTGTAAGGCTTGTATTCAACACGTGAGTAACAGATGTGTGAAGAGTGCTAAAGAACACAACACAAGTAGCTCTTTCCAGCTGAGGACCGGACAAAGGAAGAAGTGGCCTCTAAGCTGAGGTAGGAAGGAAGAAAGGACAGAATTTCAGCAGACAGAACTGACAGAACTGAAAGCACTCTCTACATAATTCAGATATGTGAGTATAGTCTGTTCAGGAAGGAACTGGGTGATAGGAGACCAGGTTGGAAAGGCAGCCAAGGATCTTGAAGAGTATGTGGGTATACTCCCTGGCCATCCGGGAATCACCAGGATGGCCCATGCTAAGGGGAGCAAGCAGGCTGAGGCAGGAGAGGCCTGCCGCGCCACACTGCTGGGGGGAGCAGCAGCGGGCGTTGCAGGGTGTGTGTGTTGGGGGGGGGGGGGTCTGCGCGCCATGTGGGTATCTCCCTGGCCGGCAATCAAACTGGCCGGCCGGGGAATAGAACCCGCGCAGCAGAGGCAGCGGACAGCTTCACCGCACCGCGCTCTACCCACTGAGCCACCTGGGAGGCCCATGCTGAGGGGAGCAGCTGGCGAGGCCTGCCGCGCCATGTGGGGAATCTCCCTGGCTGGCCGGGAATCGAACCGGCACTGCAGGGGCTGCGGACAGCTTCCCAGCGCTGTGCTCAACCCGCTGCGCCACCGGGGAGGCCCGAGGGAGGTAGGTTTTTTAGTTGGGTTTAAAGACTAGGTAGGCAGTAAAAGTTAGGAGTAAAGCAAAGATTAAGCGCTAAGAGGGCTGGAAGCTAGTCATAGTCAATATTGAAGCCTACTCTTGGCAGATATTCTAAGTAATTTTTTTGTGATTTCTTAATTAACATTCCAATAGTTTCATTTTAAAACAAGGAAATTGAAGCCTAGGATCTGCAGAATTTACCCACTACCACATAATTTTTAAATGTTTAGTTGAGATATTTGGATATCACCATCAGGTGTTGCCACCATAGTGCACCCACCACCAAATCACCCATAGTCCTTCCTTGTTCTTACTGCTCCCTCCTTTTGGATGCGTCAGCTTTCAAGGGTTGGCTTTTAATACTGATCTTTATCTGAGTCTTATTCTATATTCCACCTACTAGTGACACCATCCACCTATTTCATTTAGCATTATCCCTTCTAGCTCCATATTCAGAGAACTCATACCCCCTGCCTGCACTCACTCACCATCTCTGCACAAATACTTGCCAAAGTAAGTTGGGCTGTTTGGTTTAGGAAGTATAATATCTTTTTTTTTCTTTAGGAAGTATATCTTTTAGTCAGAAAGTTTAAAACTTGTATTTACTGCTTATTAGCTATGACCTTTAGTCCATCAGGACTTATTTGGACTCTTATTTATTAAAGTAGGGGATAATCAAACTTACTTGACAGGCTCTTGATACCAAATGAAGTGACAGCCATTAATAAACTGTAAGACACTAGACAAGTAACAGGTACTGAAATAACATGAAAATTGCAAAAATATATTTACTCGCTCTACAAATATTTATTGTACTTCTAACATGTGACAGTCTCTGTAGTTTGGTATTCAGTGTTAAAGTCATTTTAACACATTTCATTCCAGACAATGAAAATCTAGTTGTGAACAATCATGTTTTAAAAGGTAGTCTTTATTTTTCTGTTCATTTGGGAGTAATATAAAATATATCAAAGAATATGCATCTACCCTATTTAACATCTTAGTTACCAGTAATACAGAAATTAATTTTATTCTTGTTTGATATTACTTATAATTTTAATTACAAAGAATACTTTTTCAGCCCCCAAAGATGTCTCATTTTTAAGTTACTGAGAAGTGTCTTTGCAGTACTCTGTAAACCTCCTGCCCAATTTCAAAATAATGTTACAAATGATTAGAATCACATGTAAACAGTTGTCTGGTTATCAAAATTTAAATTATAAAAAATATGAAAAACTAAAGCAAGTGAACATTCTAATAGCTTGGAACCTTTTCTATAAAGTACTTGTTTTTTTACCAATAGTCTCGGTATATAAAATAGAGACACTATCCTGTTTGCTCTATGTATGTAATGTTGATCTCATTGTCCTTTTTCCAATTCTATAAAATAACTGCAACTGATCATAGGGGTGATAAAAAAAAAAGTATCTACTATGGGTAGGAATGTAAAAAATAGTCTTTATTAGTCTTCCCAATGCATTTACAATAATTATATTTTTGTTCCCTACAGTTCCCGACACTGCTTAATGGTCACATGCCAGTGCCAATCCCCAGTCTGGACAGAGCTGCTTCTCCAGTACTGCTCTCTTCAAGCTCTCAGAAGTCCTGATAACATCTGGCCAAAATTAAAGACTCATTAACTGAAGAAACAAATTTGTCCCCATGGGCTAGTTCCCGTGTCGTGAGAAGGACATTGTGAAACCCTCTATTAATTTGGTTTGCACTTTTCATAACATGGATGGTCTAGATTTGTTAGCATTTCTAAAACTTTTTTTATATTCAAGTATATATGAAAATCTGTTTTGCATTACGTGAATTTTAATGTTTTTTTTTTATATCCTTTTAGCTCTTATGTGTTGAACACTGTTGACAGTGAAGAAATTTTCTTAATGGTTTTCAGTAACTAATAAGGCTGTGAAGCTTTTTCTCTTTAATTCTGCATATGCTGAATTGTGCTTGTATACACTATAACCAGCTGTGCCTTCCTTTGCATTTAGTTTTATGTAAATGATTTATATATTTTTAGTATTAAGACAAAGTGTTTGAAAGATAAAAATTAGTATCAAACAGCTCTCTAGTAGAATTTCATTATTTTTCACAAGTAGGCAATATGAAAGCATAGTCATATTTTTCTTTTTTGCTTTCAATTGTATAAGAATTGCCTTAGAACCTCTTTTGAAACTGAAATTCAGCAAATGTAATGTCCAACTAATGTTTTTATAAGAAACTAAACTATATTTAGACAATAAACATTCAAAAGAAAATGTTCTAAAGTAATTTAAAAAAAACGAACTTTGAAAGGCTAGACTTTTAGCTCTTTATAATCATTTAGACATTTCCCACATAAAAACTTGAGATGGAAAAATGCTATGTAACATTTATCCATGCCCCTGGAATACACTCTACTTAGCATATCCTTATTTCAAAAAATTAGCCCTTGTTCTCTGAGAATCACACATTTACTGTATCATTATGAGTTAGGGTTTCTCTAAACCTCTGGCACTATAATTAAAAAATGAATACTATGGAAGAGGCTCAGAGATTGGTGATGTATACAAACAGCAAAGAAACAATTTTGTAATACCAGGTTTCCTCATATGTATAGGTATAGCCTTGCTTGTGGAAAATGGAAGGTAGGATATACTGCTTGATGTATCACTAAATTTATAATGAGAATGAAGCAAATCTGGTAAAATATAAAATATTAAATCAGTGTGGAAGTGAACTGATTATATAACAATTTGGAACACTCAGCAGTAAATTCTTCTGTGCAGTGTAGTTTAGAGCAGTGATAATAGAAACACTTCCTGTTCTTCAACAAATCAGCTGGCACCACTGTAAGGCATCATCCTGTACATTAAGTAAAAAAATTCTGTTGTACCATAAGAGAACTCGAAAGTGCCCAAGTCAAGATTAGGGTATCCTTAGCTATCAGTAACAGAAATCAATTTGAAATGTGAATAATTGATTCCGGCCAGGTGATAAGTGTCACAGATAAGGGAGTAAGAAACTAAGCTTCTAAAAACAAACATTTCTCGAGCTTTCAAAAAACTAAAATTCAATTATAATACTTACCAAGTTTTGAGATTTTCCACTGGAATTGTACATCTCTGCATGGGACTGTATGCCCTTATCTGGGGGGGGAAAAATCCAAACACTCTAATATTCTTATTTTACTATAAAGTAATTGAGGCTGATTCCAAATCCAGACACTACTGTCACCCTCTCGTAGGCTAATTCTTCACTGAATAAAAAAGCTTGCCCAGGGAACTGGTATCTACCAAACATATGATGTTAGAGCTAGAAGGAACCTTTGACAATGACCCATGACTGTTTCCAAGAGAAACTGCACAGCAAATATGGAGTTGCCTTAAGGCCACATAGCTCACTGAAGGTGAATAGTAATTGGTGCTCAGTAAGGGTCTGTATCCCCAAGCCTAGATACAAGTAACTAGTAGCCAAAACTGTGTGTTACTAGGAAAAAACAGATATAGAACATGAAAACAAAAAATTAGATAAGAACACACACCAAATGCAAGATTCTTACAGAAAAACTAAAGTTGGAATCAATGTGCAAAATTCTCAACCAAAAAATGTTATTTTTAAATATAATTGCTGATTGGAAATATTCAAATGACCATAAATTTGATTTCTGGATTCCCTTCCTCCAATTGTTATGGATTAAACACATTTTAGATCCATAAAAATTGGAAGAAGTTTTTGCTGGATCACAACACTCACTGTAACATATAAAAAGAACTGGAGGTTTTGATATATAACACTTATAGCTGTGCCTCATTCTGTGTGTGTGGCCGTTTAACAAATGTTTTAGTCAGAAAGTAAGATTCAAAAAACAGATAAAATAACTTTTGCTTTTTATATGTCTTCTTGATCAGTGTTAAACTGCTATGGCTAAAGTTTTATAGAATGATAACCTAAATGTTGTCCTTTTTTGTACACATCTTTTCTATGCCTGTAAATCTTCATTCACTTTCATGTATGTATCATTTTTACTGTTATATTATTTTTGTTCAATAAATACTTTGTGATAAAAGGTGTGAAGAGGCAAGTGAGTTGGTTTACTTCCATTTACTTGAGAGGATCTAAATTTCACTTTTCCATATGGGTACAAGTTAGAAAATTAGTCTTGTCACCGAGCCATAAATATGGCACACTTTAAAACATGCTATGAATACATACATACAACATACATACATAATGCTTTAAAACATTTAAGGAAACAAATGTTGAGACTGAATGGTGGGGGGGGAGATGGTTCCCTTATGTTTTAAATGTTAAGTTCTATCAATTGCTCTGTACTAACATGGTGGAGGATAAGGAAGAAGGGTAAAACCAACTTACCATTTATTCTTTTAGCTGCAGCTACAATCATACTCAGTGGTGCAAGACTGAAAGCTATTCCTTTAAGATGAGGAACAATAAAAGGATGCCCTCTGTTTGCTGCTTGCCACTTCTATTCAACTTAGCACTGAAAGCTTTAACCAGAGCAGTTAGGAAAAAGGAATAAAAAGCATCCAAATTAGAAAGGAAGTAAAACTATCCAGAAAAAAATCCAACCCAGAAAGCAATTACAATAACATTGAGAAAAATATCTAGAAAAAATTTAATAAAGCACAAGACTAGTACACTGAAAATTAACGAAATTAAGAAGTCAAAAATATCCTGAGTTCATGATTAGAAGGCTTAATATTGTTAACATCACAATACTCCCCAAAGTGATCTACAGACACAGCACAATTCCTAACACAATTCCAATGGCATTTCCCCCATCATAAAATTCAAATAAACTATCAAGAAACCCTGAATAGCCAAAACAATCTTGAAAATCACAACCAAAATTGAAGAACTACAATGTTACAAGTAATCAAAACACTGTGGCACTGGGTAGGATGATAGAGATACAGACCAACAGAGTCCTCAAATAAATCCTCAAATCTATAGTCAACTGATTTTCAACAAGATTGCCAAGACTATTCAGTGGGAAAAAGACACAAAAAGAGAAAATATTCCTGACTTTGGATCTGACATAGTTTCTTAAATAAGCTGCAAGAGCAAGGGTAACAAATAAATTGGACAAGTTTTTAATTTTAGTGAAGTCCATCAAAAGGACACCATCAAGAAAGTAAAAGACAACCCACAGAATGGAAGAAAACAATTGCAAATTTTGCTTCACAAGGGTCTACTATCTAGAATACATAAAGCACTTCTACAACGCAATAACAAAGTTGGAGGACCAATTAAAAATGGGCAAAGGAAATGAATAGACATTTCTCCAAACCAGATATACAAATCGCCAATAACACATAAAAAGATGCTCAACACAACATTACGGAAGTGCAAAAACCACAATGAGGTATCACTTCACAACTGTTAGAATACAAAAATACAGTCATAACTGAATGTAAAATGCTTAATGTTTTAGAGTGAATGTAAAAAAAAAAAAAAACTCACCACCAACAACAAACCAAGTGTTGATGAAGAAAAACTGGCATTCTGATATATTACTGTTAGGAAAGTAAATGGTTTGGCCACTGAGGAACAATGTGGTGGTTCCTCAAAAAGTTAAGAATTATTAAATGACCCAAATTCCAATCCCACATACGTAAAGCCAAATAATTGAGAACAAGGGCTAAAATAGATACATGTATACCAATGTTCATGGCAGCATTATTTAAATAACCAAAAGCTGGGAAGAACATACCTATCCATCAAGAGATAAATAAAATACTGTATATTAATACATTATTATTCAGCCACCAAAAGAAATGACATTCTAATATATGCGACAATATGGATGAACTTATAAACATGTCAGGTGAAATAGCCAGACACAAAAGGACAGATATGGTATGATTCCACTTATGTGAATTGTCTAGAATAGGCAACTTCATAGAGATAAAAAATATATTAGAATTTAAACCAGAGGAGGTAGGATTAAGAGAAAATTAGGGGGGGTTATTTCCTAATGGGTAGTTTCAATTTGGAGTGATGAAAAATTCTGGAAACAAATATGGTAACTGGTGTATACCACTATGAATGTAATACTACTGAATTGTATAGTAAATTTTATGTTATATATATTTTACTACAATTTAAGAAAAATAGTAAAAACAAACATGAATTGTCTTGATTCCAAAGGTAGATTATTTGCATGGTAACAAGTAGTCTTTGAAAAGCTAGGTGATAAAGCACGAAATGGAACACAGCCACATCTATGTATCTAGTGATAAACTTAATATGTATTAACATCATCACTCAGAAGAAAACAAAGAAGACATCCTCTCTTACCTTGAAGAAATTTCAGTCTAGGATGAATCAAAAGTATTCAGGGTCCAAATTTTCCAAGTGTCAGTTCTCTTTACTGTAAAGCTTTCATAATCTTAATGGTGCTCAAGTATCAAAAAATACCAAACTCCTGGGCCTCCCCGGTGGCGCAGCGGTTGAGCGCTGGGTTGCGAAGCTGCCCGCGGCCTCTGCGGCGCCGGTTCGATCCCCGGCTGCTCCCCGGCCACCAGAGGAGGGTCCCACATGGCGCGCAGACCTCTCCTGCCGCCCGCTGCTCCCCTCAGCAGTGTACTTCGGTCCTTCTGCCTGGTCTGCTCCCCGCTCTGGCTCTGGTGAATTCTCTCACCCTCCCGCGCTTCTGACTGTACCCAGTGCATGTATAAACAAAAAAAACAAAACAAAACAAACCAGCAAACAAATAAATAAAGCATGCCTCTATAAAAAAAAAAAAAAAAAATACCAAACTCCTTAATAATAATGAGAAAATTCCCTAGGGCTTACCAGGAAGAAGAATTTATGTTACAACTAGAGGTATTACTTTACCTTTTTTATGCAGGAATCAAACTTATTGATAACTATATCAAATCAAATACATGACTCATGAAGTGAAAGATCTGATGCTTTATAATTTAGTGTTAGCCTATAAAATTACAGATTATGAAATGATCAGCATAAATATAAGTATCACTATTAGCACAATCATCAGTGCTAATAAGTCTCATAAGAATTATGCCCCCCCGCAAATGATCTCATTCTGCTTGCCTTCTCCCCCAAGAAAGAACTGTGACTCAACAAAAGCAGATTTTAACAACATGAAGATTGTGTTATTATAAATTTCAAAACAAAATGGAGGGATTTCCACATAATATTTATAACCTTCAAAGTACAATATTAATACATGTTTGTAAGTTAGAAATAACAGCAGTTTGTTAGGCTACAGGGTTTAA